TTTGATATTGATTCCCCAGTGAAAATCATGATCTCTGCATCAGAAACAGAGTCAATTCTTCATGCTCAGCGAGTTTTCATGTTGAATTTTATGCCATCTGCAGATAGTTTTTATGAAGCGCATTCCTTCTTCAATTCTCTGCCATCAGTTGAATGACCAATAATGGCGAACGCAGCGTATGACTTGTTCAACATTGTCGCTGAATTGTGATATTTCTCAATCAATGGACAAGACAAAAAGTTCAATCATTTAAGAGCCGGTTCTCTTTTCGCGATTGAAATTCATCGAATTTCTCTCATGTGCTAATGAAAATTGCTCATGCAACATGAGCATTGTGGCATTTGTCGTGCATTTCAATGAAAACTCATTTTTGCGTAATAAATGTATAAGGTGTAAAGCCAGAAATAGAGCACTCTTCTCAAGTCATCCTTCATCATCTTCAGGGAAGTGAATGTTTTTCTGAGAACTCTGGAAGAATTTGGTTCAATTGACGATATATTTATAAATTTTCTCTCTCTCACTCGCTGCTAATGATTTCTTTTTGGTGTCTAAGGCGAAGAACACTGAGTTGAGATATCAAATATTCCTCAGTCACGCTAATATTGCAAAATAATTTCCCTGTATAATAAATATTGTGCTGCTGCAAGTGCCAGCGAGGCGCCACTTTTAATTATTTCCCACTGTTTTATACAAATATAATATTCCTCTTGCGTCTTTGTGTGTTGCTTTGGCGCGTTTGAGAGCAAAAGATACGAATATAATTTGTATTTTCTCCTTGTCTTGTCGATATTTACATAAATGTGCGCGCTTCTTCGTCCACTTCTCTTCAGTTCACCACCACAGTCTGTATATATAAAATTAAATTCAAGAATCGGGTTTGTGAGAGGGAAAAATAGGAGTAGATAAAGTATGTATTTGATATTAAGTGTCTCAAGGAGTGGAAATTGCTGGATTATTTCACAATGTGCATCTGGAAAGATATTCTCAATTGCACTCAAGCATTTTTATGGGCTCAAAAGTTATCAAATTGTATAAATAATGGAGCATGTGTTGGGTCAATATGAGCATAATATTTACATACAATTCCTGAAGATCGCGCGCGCTTCTTGCTCTGGGATGTTTTCCAGGGCGCACAACAATTTTATCTGCCACATATATTTAAAGCGCGGCGCCCCAAAAAAAAAAACATTAGAGACGACAAAGGTTTTTCTCTCCTTCGCGTATTATTTTTAGACTCAGAAATACAAGAAGCACACCTGAACATGTTATGGTGCTGAAAGTCTAGTGTCTTCTGTTTCACATTATGAATTTTCGACGGACAGGTGAAACGGTGGATTGAACTGTAGCGGATTCGTGGCAGTACAATGGCTCTGAGGATGGCGTCTTCTCATATGGTGTGAGAAATCGTCGGTGAGAAGAAGGAGCAAATGAAATGAAAAATTAATCCACACGCTCACAATTTATTTATTGTTGCGGCTCTGCTGGCCACAATCACCAGAAAACCCTGTGCTGACGATGAAGAGGTGAGACATAATGGTGAATGTCTTCTTCCTCTCCTCTTCGCGCATTGTGCAGAGATTTAACACGGCACGTACTATGTAGTACTCATTGATATAAAACCGCGAATAACGGCTCTTGACATACTTAACGCCAAATAGATACAGAATGATTATTTTTCACGTCTCTCGCTTCGTGAGGACTTGAGGTGGAGTGTAAATAAAATTAACAAGTGAATTTCTGATTGGAATTTTTGATACTATTTCATGTGTTGCAAAAGTCTTGCGATTTTCTCACAGTCACGTTATAAGCGGCCACTGGCGAAGAGTGGAAGAAGCCGATATTTCTTCTACTGTATTTACTTTTCATTACTGGAACTCTGTCATCATTGTCCCTCTCTCTCTTTCCTTTAGATCTCTTCAGGTGGTTTTGTCAGGTGAGATCGGTGAGATAGAAAAACACACTCTGTTTTTTTCTGTATCACGAGACATCGTGAAAATCGCGGTGGAATTGTTTCTTACAATCGCTCTGTGGGCATTTATTCAAAACTCTTGGTTATTGGAAGACGTGCCAATTTGAAGAAGAAAACATCGAAAGATGACATCACTAGTTCTGGACGACAATCTTTTTAGAATGTGTCACCAAGTTACTTAATTCAGTGGTGTTTTGCAATGTAAGTTTATTGATTCCAAAGACACGATTCTCAGATGTTTATTCAGCAAGGTCTGAAAAGCCGAATGACCGGTCGAATCATACTTCTTATGATCATTTCATGTTTATATTGTGGCCCACAGGAAGGCGTGTTGAGTTTTTCCATTCATTGATCTGTCGAAGCGATGCCTAAACTAGCAGAAAATGTCAGAAGTTTCAGGCAATAAAAGCCAAGAGAAAAGGAAGATTAAAGCACAGATTTACCTTGTTTTATGCTTTAAATCTCTGAAGCTCATTAGAAATCTTCAGCAAATGTTAAGACTCCAAAATTGTTTGAATTCAACTCCAAATCGAGTCTTTTGCGTCAGAGACACTCAGCAAGAAGCCAGAAAATGCTCGTCAATGTCCTTTAGTACTTCACAAGACTTTCGCGAGATCCATTTAGAACACATTTTGCGCGGTGGCGAGAGAAAATAGAAGACACACAGAGTGACTATGCGGGGCAGGTGAACTCTGCGCTTCTTGTCGTCCTGCCTTACATTGCTGAGAAACTTGAGATGTCAAGCTGCGGCGTGAGCAAATAAATGGCAAACATTCTCCCGCATTTATGAGTTAAATTGCAAATCGACGTGGCGCCATCCGGATTTCACATGAAGATTCTAAATTTATTTTAATTTTTGCTCCATCGCACGCATTACATTGCGTACAAATCTGCGGGTTATTCATCCCATAGAATTGGCGCATCTTTGTGCGATCAATTGAGAAACTCTGGAGATTTTTTTTGTCTACATTGTCACCTGCAATATTACCTCAAGTTTATGATGTCTGCAATGGTGTTTATTTATACTTCCTTTCCGCCTTTTTTCTCTCTGCTCCACATTTACGCAATCGTGGCGCCAAAGCGTTTTTTTTCTCGCGCTCTTGTAAGCATTCCAGCATTTGGAGTGTGGGAATTTCTCATTTACATATTCCTATATACGATATTTCTCGAATTACTTGCTATGACCAACATTTGGCTTATTGTCTTTCACACCACATTTTATGCCACACACACACACACACTTTGAATGTGTAAACTTATCAGGCGCGGAGAGTAATTTCATGAAATGTTTCATGAAATACTTTATCTCACCCAAACATTTGATGGCTTTTCTCTCTTCGGCCACTTAAATCACCTTGTGTGATTCAATTTAATGCTATTAAAACATGCCCTGTCACAAGAGCCGGACAACTGTGGAAGACGGAGAGGGAGACAATGAATAAGAAGGCAGATAGAGAAATCCTGAAGGCAGAGTGCAAGAATGGCAAGAGAGTGGAGAAAATGAGATACAAAAGTACCTGGAGTGTCATCCTCATGGAATGAATAATAATCTTAAAACTTATTTTCAACACAGATAGGCTAAAAGCCACTTTATCTTCACTCTGAGTATGTTTACTTCCTTTCGTTTCTTTTCTTTCTGCCCAGAAACCACTTTGTGTGCTTCTTCGTTATCCCTGAGATGCATTTTCAACTTCTCCACCTTCGTCGTCATCATTCGTCCTATCTTGACTTCTCTGACCACCTTCTGAGTGTCCCAGAGAGTCTTTCCGCGCGAGGATGAAGGAGTCAAGGCATTGGAGAGTGATCGACTCAAGACTCTCTATCACTCGTGCGTTATCGGTTAGAAACAGGAGTTTGCACTTAAAATTCCCAGTTCCTCATTTTATACCGCATCTCAGGCACTTTTCGTGGCAATAAATCACTGTATGATTGTCTCGAAAAGTGGTATCTTCTCACTCATTAGTCACTGAAAATTAAGAATTGATACTTCTCTCGAAGACACAGCAGAAACACTTTGACCATAAACCATTGTGGTTGTGACTTAATGGTTCGATTTATTTATTTATTCTTTTATTATTGCCTGCAATTCTGAGAGAACAATTTCTCTATTTACAGACGTTTAACATGTATGAGAAGTTGTGATTCTAATGTGGCACGGCAGATAAGGAGTGGAGATAAGGAGATACGCACAAAGAGATCTCTTATTTCATAAGATTACGAAATATTTACCTAATATAATTGCACTATGACGAAATTGTGCTGATTTTTCTGCAAATTTGACGACAAAGAAGTACAGAAACTTCACAATGTAATGTCTGCGAAGGGGTTAAACTGTGAGATTACATAGTCCTTCAAAAGTTACCTATTAATTATCATTGGCTGCGTAACAGCCTGTATATTCTCAACATACATAAATAATTCGAAGTAACGATTCAATTCACCCCTGGAAACAGGAAGTGAAGGAGAGCGAGTGAGTAATAGAACACGATATGTTGGTCGGCAAATATCTCGCAGTTGAGAGCCTAAATTGGATAGGAAAATTTGTCTTTGGAGTTGCAGTAAATACAAGCAACAAAAATAGCCTCCCTCAATATTTCCTTCGGCGGCCAGACGTCGACTATTCTGGCACTTTGGCGCCATCGAAGTGCTTCAAATAAAGAACGAGGGTCGATCCCTTTTTTTGGCGCGCTGTTACTTCTCTGGCTCCTGTGCATTTCTCTGTCTTTCCCTTCGCCAAGGGTCTGTGTTTTTTCCCCAAACAGCATTTCAGCCTTCATCGGAACACACATTCTCTCTTTCTGTCTGTTGTGAAAAACTGAATGGCGGAACGGAGGAGAAGACTAAAGAAGAGACGGAGGAATTTTTGAAACAATCGCGCCCCTCCTGAGCAGACGAAGGCACGGCAATTTCACCTTCATGGACTTTGGAAATTGCTCTTTTTCTGGCCTCGCCGAACATTCTTCATTGTATCGCGGCGCTCATGTGATTTTATCTTGTACAGGCAAAGATGGGCTTCTTGCGAGAGACTCACCGGACGATAAGCTGTCTTCCCAGGGCTGCTTCAGTGCTCTGTTGAGGAAAACTCCGTCCTCACTTTCCATTTTCACCGATGACGCGCTCGCCGGTGTGAACATATTGCCGGCAATAAGGGCGACATTCAGCAGAATTGCCACAAATGAGTGATGCATTGTGAATTTAATGGGTTCACACAAGTATGTTTTATAACACCGAAACCTTCACTTTTAATTCTCTATTGTGTTAATTACAACATTTCCAAGTATTTCACTTCATACATCGCAATATTCACTCTCTAACTGGTTGAGTCTACTTAAAAATAAATCCTTTTTCCCCACACACGACGTATAAACAACTTTTCTCACACTTTAGAGGCACTCGCTGGCACGGAAGCCTATTAAGAATTTTCCCGTCACAGCGCCACGGAGGTTGGAAAACAAGGAGGAAAATATTGCCAGAGACTCTAAAACTGCGGTGCGAACGTTCGGCCGATGAGCGGATCCAACCGCTCACAACGGAAACTCAACAGCAACTGAACACAGAGGAGAATGTGCCGTCGTTCGACGATGGTGTTTCACTTGAAAGCCACGATAGCGAAGAACTTTGTATTGCGGTCAAATGAATGGCGCCACGACTACAGGGGCCGTAGTTGGAGTGTGGAAATACGATTTTTTCTCATTTACCCACATTCTAATCCAACGGCCAGAGCAGACAGCACATCAGTGATAGGCGCTTCTGAGAGTGCATTTCCTCTGCCAAGAACGCAGGGCAGAAGAAGCTGGTGATCTCCTGAGTCCTGCATAATCGCCTTGAGGAAATAATACTTGAATGCGATCACCATGTGGTAGCCGGCCAAGTCTCTGCTCACATTCCGCTCTTGCTGTCTCGTCTTCGGGCTGCGCTCGCGCAAGCCGCAGTGAGTATGAAGAGTGCGACAAGTGGCGTCTGGTGATTAAACTGACACAACTACATAAAGACGACCCCATGCGCCAAGTCTCTGCCTTTTAATCTGCGCGCGCAATGCTGCAGCCGTGAATTCGACGGCCGTAGCTTGAGTCAGCGCCTCTTCTAAGGCCTGCAATGCAATCAAGATGATTACAATAGAGATTTCAAGACGCCTAATTCTTGGTTTTATCGAAAAACCTTATAGAAGAGTGCATTTTGGACCTCAAATCGAATTTTATATTCCAACGACATTCTCCCATCTCGACATCTTCTCGTCTGGTCACGCTGGCCACTTGACAAGTGCTTTGGAGGCTATTTTTTTTTTATTGATCGCGAATTAAACATAAACTCACCGATCCACCGAGACTTGAGATTCAAATTCGGTCACGGTGATCACAAAGGCCTTTCTAGTAAAGTGTGATTTTTATATATTTCTCATAGGGTTATTCAACTGAAATTCTGCACAATTAGCAGAATTGCACGTTCACTCGACGATAGTTTCAATGAAAATGTATGAGAGTAATGACAGTAACACGCCGAACAGACTCAACCTTTATAACAGTTGAGGGACTTTTTTCGAGCGGGGACTTCTCTCTAGGGCACTCGCTCTAAGACCCTTTTTTGCTCTAGCGCTTTGGAGCTTTCGTGCTTCTGTGCTACAGTTAAGCAGACAGCGCCGATTTTAATGCTAAACGCGGCGCTATCGGCAATTACTCAGTTATACTTTGCAGACAGCAAAGTATCGCGGAAATCGACATAAAATATCTCAAATTAACTATTTAATTCTCCGTCATAGCCAAAAACACAAATTTAAAGTGCATTTTATGTAAGGTTTTTATTTCTCTCTTTTCCCACAAAATTAAAATTATTCAAAATCATAAGCATTATTTTATATGGAAGTTTTTGGTGTCAATTCTTACAGAATTTTTGAGATAATTTGGCTAAAAATATATAAAGGTCGCGACTCATTGCATTGGTAGTTCCGTATTTAATACCACGAATGGTGAATATTCCGAGTAAACGCTAGCGAGAGCGTCAGCGAGATCTAGAGCCGGGAATCAGGTTGAATCACACTCCATCAAAAAGCGTTGATCTTTATTCGCGGCGTTTTTTGGTCCAGGAAAGTACAGAAGGTGAACTGGTACTGCAATATTCTGGATAGATCTTGGAAGAATTCCCCTGAAAATATCATAATCATTAACTTTTAATCATGATTTAATTTGATTTTAATTACTCACCGTAAATTTTAATTCGGGACGAAGGATTTCCTGATAAAAACTGATGATTAGGCTCGCTCTCAATATCTGATGGCTCGCTCAGCGTCTACCGCGTGTTCTCGTGTTGTTTCTGAATCAGTTCACAGTGATTCTTTTCCTCCAGAAATCGTCCTATTTCAGTTTGTCAGCAATTCATTGGCGTGATGCTGAAGAATATGCGCACGGAAGACGTTCTTCGGCAATTTCTCTCTGAGCTCATCTTCTGCAACTCGCCTTGCAGTTGACCGGCCTTTATCACTAATCCTTCGCAGAAGATGCAGCTTTTTATCCGGAAACATCTTCCACTCTCACTTCTCTGCAATATTCTTCACGTCTTGCTCACACATTTCACGAAAAACTAAATATTTCTTGCCAATTTCCAAAATATTGGCCTCGGAGTGACGTTCAAACGAATTGGCACAATAGTAGAACAGTCCGACGAGTGCCGAGCGGCTGTGCTAATCACCCGAGCTGTGACGACACTTGAAAAAGGCACCCTACAGTGTCGATTCTCTTTTTCACTCTGCCACACAACTGAGTATATTAACATGTTTTTCACGAAAATGAGAATTTTCACGGTAAAAATTCCTATGAAACGTTAAATAATTGCAGAGCGAAGGTGATCTGATCGTTTTCCGCGATCTTCCCGAGCAAAAATTGGCCGAAATAGGCATTTTGGGAAAAAAGGTCCCGTAAGGGCGTAAAAAAGTCCCGGGTCTGTGTAATCAATGTAAAAAGCCCAGTCTGTTCGGGGTGTAAGAGAAGATTATCGAACGGTGTGCGTTGTGTTTGAAGAAGTATAAACTTGGTATTTTTATAGACGCTGATTGAAACATTTCACTTTAATGCACGGCATATAAAAATCTGCAGCAAAGCAGAGTGGATGATAATGACAGACGCTGAAAGGGATTTTTATGATGTTTCCGGACGAACTTCAAAGGTCCAGACTTAATGACTGCCCAATTTTCGGCATCTTCGTCTGGTGGGATGCATTTAAGAAAATCATAGTGAGTCGAGAATGGGAAACAAGGCTGTGTTGTTGGTCTATGTAATTAAATTCCAGGTAAATTCGATGAATCGCCCATGTTCTGAGCGCAGAAAGGATTACTTTGCACAATTTGACCGGATTTTCAGAATGCTCGAAGACACACAGCTCAGCTCCTTCGCTAGAGTGAGAGAACATCTCTCTGTGTTTGCTTTCATCTGTGCACACAGAGAAAAAATTATCTTCCCTCTTCGTGTATTCCAGTCATTCGTCTTCTTCAAAGTTTTCTCAAGTTTTTAAGGTTGTTTTATCATTATTTATATTCCTCCAGTTGCGTTTTCTTCTCCATCTCATGGGAGGTTCGCCTCGCTCGGCTCTCATTTGGTGTTGTTTTGCGTGGAGTCGAGAGCCCCAATGCATAAAAAGGCGCATGATGGGTGAACAAAAAGAGGAACATGGAGAGCATGGAAGAAGTTAAGACATGAAGAAGAAAAATAATTTGTTTGTTTTCCACGCTCTTCAATATAAAGGAGCTCAGACCAAAGTTTGCTCTCCCAATTTGACTAATGAAAGTCTTCGGTAAGAGTTTCACCCAAGGAGTATGTATTTTTGTTGTTTGTTGGGGTTCTCGTACAGGAGGCGACATCGTCTATTTGAGGTTAGGTTTTAGCGAAAAATTCGCCGTTATTTGATCATACTATTTTTCATCGGACTTCTTTTCGCGCGAAGTCACAATAAACCAACTGTTCATTCATTTCGCACGTTCTAATTGTCAATTTTCTGTGCAAAAGTTGAAGAAAAATGAATTGCAGTGAATTGGCTGTGAGAATATCCAGGGATGTAATCCCCACGTCTCCTTCCACCAACTCCCACACCACGAGAGTGAGAAGGTGGTGAGGAAGTGGAGGAAAATCTTGAAGAAGTCGTCAGGTATTGAGAAGAAGATCATCAGAGTGTGCTCTGACCACTTCCTGCCTGACGATTTCCACCCCACTTCCCGAGCTCTGCAGGGAGAGTGGAAGTGCAGAAGGAGATTGAAGAAGGGAGGTAATGATTTATATACAATGCAGGTTGTTCTTTTTTATTATTTCATCTATAATAATTTTCAGTTTTCCCGACGAAAGTTGGGACATCTCCAGAGCTGAGCCGGGCTCATCCAGAGGCGAGTCTGGACCTCATCCAATCTCTCAACCCAGAGATTGCAATTCTATGTAAGTTTCAGAATAGAAATATGTGTAAATTGATTGACTTAAATGTGCTCTCGTATTTCACAGGGATCATTCCTACGCAAAGATCATGCCCTGCGGTAATGGAGATGAGTTTGAGGAGAGAACTGCAGTCTTGAGAGACGAGGATGAAGAGCTGAATGATGTGATCCGCGATGAAGCCGGAAGTGACAAAGAATCGGAAGTAGACATGCTCTTCGACAACACAATCGAAATTATTTCGGATTATGAGGAGACAGTGGAAGATCAATCGATTGATAAGTTATTTTTTTTATAATATTCAATAACTCTATATGGATTTCATTAATTTTTGCGAGAAAGTTGAATTTTACTTCCAAGATTCCACGATTTTCATCTCACTTTTAAAGTGAAAAAAAAATGTTCTAAGAGACACGTGTGAATTTATTAATGAAAATGTGGACTGCAGCAGATATTCAAAAGATGTCTTAAATACTTATGTGAAGCAGAGAATTAGAAACAAAATAATTTACCAAAATAATCACTTAATTGAGAAGGAGAGAAGGGCGAATATGTATAGGAAAAAAGGGTGGGCGGCTTCACAGGAGCAAAAGAAAATACAAACATTCACAACTTGAATAAAATAATGAAAATCCGTGAAAAAAGAATTGTTTAAATTTAAATTCCCGCGAATTCACTTCACCGCGAAACACAAATTTAACTATACATCTTCTTCTTCTTAAAATGGTCGCTTGTCGCCTCCTGTACGAGAACCCCAACAAACAACAAAAATACATACTCCTTGCCACATGTGTGCCTTAATATGCCAATTTTCTCTCTGATTCACTTGAGAATTTTTGCCATTTCTGCGATATTACAGCTTGTTATATGCATAACGATTTTAATGATTTGCAGGATAACAAATGTATTCACAAGATGTCGTGGCTTTTAGCATCGTCTAATAAATCCAAACGAATTAACTTCCTTTCTCATGTTCACATCGCAATGTCTCTATTCTCAGTCACAAGAATTACAATAAGTTATTTCACATACAAAATTCATCAGAGGAATAAGAATAACTTCGTATGAATGTGAACCAAATATTAATAAATGAAATTGCTGAGAGTAAATTCACGAAGAGATTATGAGGTTCAGAGCAATTTCTCATC